TTTGACACCTTTTTACTTTGTTTTGTTTTAAAGGCGCTTCATCTAATTGATGAAATGGATTTGAATGGCGACAGAAAGCTCTCTGAAGCAGAGATTCTGGAAAATCAGGACTTGTTTCTTACCAGTGAAGCCACAGATTATGGCAGACAGCTCCATGATGAATATTTCTATCATGACGAGCTTTAATCCCTGAGTATGTTTGAGGAGAGTACTGACTCCTTTTATAATTTGTTACCAGCTTTACTTTTGTGATAAAATATTGATGTTATATTTTACACACTAAGTCTTAACCACAGTTGAAATTATCTTAATGTAAATTATAATTTTGGCCTTTTAGAAGAGAAACAAAACAAAAACCTGGTATTTATTTCAAAACGTATTTGAAGATATAAAGCGTTAATGTTGTGCCATATGACAATGAAGTCTTTCCTAAATACTCCATCTGTTTAGTACTGTATTGTGGAATATTTGAGTTGTATTTCCATACTTGAAAAAAATGGAGAGTTTTAGAGATGCCTGAACAATATTACTTAAAGTAGTATGTGACTAAGCTATCAATTTTTGTTTTGTTTTAAGTACATTTAATTTGGGAATGGACAGAAAGGACAGTGTTTTTAGATTTAGCATTTTGTTTTAAAACCTTTAAAGGAACCTTTAGAAGGACTTATACTTCACATATTAATGTTGAGAAGTTCTGCTTAATCTTAAAATGGTTTCTGTAAAGGATTTTATTGTATGAAATAGAACTTTATATTTTTGCATATGTATAGATAGTAATTATATTTAATGTATAACAATAGCATTATGGTGTGTGGAATTTGACATTGTCCAGAACTGTTTTCATTTTTGACTGATTAAATTGAAATGTCCTATCTTTTTATATATTTGTTTGCTTTTCCTAGTCTTCCAGATAAACCTTGAATTTAGTACAGGTTTTGTTGTGTTGTATATTATCTCGCCTGATCCTTTTCTGTAGTAAATGTTTTCAAAACTGTTAAATTATTCTCGCTGCATATCCTTAGTTTGCTTTTTTTTTCCTGATAAAAGAATCATAATTGAATGTACACTTGACACATTTTAATTGCTTTTGTAGCAAATGTGGTCCAGTCTTGCTGTTTTGGGGCTAGAAATAATCTTAAGAATTACACGTATTGGACATATGTGTAATCCAGTGATCTGATTAGTTATCACCAGTAGAGCTTGATATCAATTATAACTGAAATTAAAATCATACTTGAGAAGCATT